TTCTGTGCGGCCTGGTACCAAATGCCCTGCGGACCCGTACCGGTCCGCGGACCGGCGGTTGGGGACCCCTGATCTAGTGGATACATAGAGCAACTGCAGTCATTATTGTAGCTTCTGTTCTATGCGCATTATAATGCAGTGCGCTCTATATATGAAAAGTTTTGAAAATAGGCCATTCATTGAAGGTGTGCCTTATAGTGCAGTGTCAGAGTTTTTTCTCAGACAAAGTTAAACAAATGACTCGACACACATGGAAGATTGTGTTTCTGACGGCAGAAAAGGATCTCTGAGGGCGAACAACGGTAGTTGCCCCGTGATCACATTTAGAGTTCCTTGTCCTCCAGTCGTACTTTTATTGTTTACATATGCAAAATACAAGAAAAACACTGCTCCCGATATTTGCATACCACGCCCCCGGTCCGTCCCCTGGGTAGTGATCTGATTCCCTTGGTTTAAGCTTTGAACCACAGATACGTTCACACCTTTCAGTCTGGTCTACAACGAATCAGCAAGTTGCAGACTTCGCAGATGACAAATGTCCGCCTGGGCGCGACACCCGCTCCCAAACTGTCTTTTGATGTTCTGCAACACTTCATTCCCAAATTGTTTATTCCCACTTTGTGACCGAGTCTCGCCTTCTTCCATCTGTTCGCTCCCTTGCTTCAACGTGATAACTGTGGACTTCAAAAGCCCTCCGCCCAAACGGCCGACACCTTTGCGCACAGGCGGTTGGGGGCGCTAAATACGCACCCAAACGTCTAGACATGCCCAAATTAAATGAAACTTTAAACATGACACACTTTTGCTCGTAGATTTCTCTATCATGCAGAAAATACGGTAATTGAGGAGGCTGCAAATGGCAGAGCAGAGATGAAAGCACCTGAAAACAAGTCACATACGAGCCACTGACTATCACCTGTTCCACAGCGTCTTCTACGTGTTTTATGAGCAGTACCTCACCATCGTGTACGACACAGCCTTCCAACTGAGCGTGTCGCTGGGCGCCATTTTCCTGGTCACCACAGTGCTGCTGGGCTTTGAGCTGTGGTCAGCCGTGCTGGTGTGCATCACTATCGCTATGATCTTGGTCAACATGTTTGGCGTCATGTGGCTGTGGAGCATCAGCCTGAACGCCGTCTCGCTCGTCAACTTGGTCATGGTGAGGACGGGGGGCGTGCGCGTAGGATACGAGTTGTAGAGTTGATGTTATGTGCTCATGTTTCCTTTTGCAGGCATGTGGAATTTCTGTGGAGTTCTGCAGTCATCTGGTTCGGGCCTTTTCCGTCAGCATGAAGAAAAGCAGAGTGGACCGGGCTGAGGAGGCGCTGGCGCACATGGGCAGCTCAGTAAGTCTTAACTTAAAACTTGAAATTGATCACTTCATGGTCCTGGATGCTGCTTGTACTCCATTTTGTCCAGATTGCAAACAAAATTCGTTTGTGATAAGCAGTCATGTAAATATTGTATAGCTCCTAAAAATGCTTCCAATTACAAATATACCAGCCCAAAACACTTCACTATCATTTCAAACTCATCTTACAGCATTCAGTTACAAAATAAAAGGCTAACAGATCTCTTGATTTTGCAAACACGGACCACAAGTGGGCGTGAATGTCATCCACACAAATGGTGGGCGGGCCGCCATCACTTGTTAGCTCGAGCTTTTAGCTGCTAAAATGTACACAAGGCAAAGATAAATGGTAAATGGGCTGTCACCTACATACCTCTACCTCAGGTATATTATCTACCTCAGGTACTCAAAGCGCTTTATACTGTTACCTCATTCACCTACTGATGACGCAGCATCAGGAGCAACTGGGGGTTCAGTATCTTGCTCGAGGTCACTTTGACATGGTTGCAATGGCCAGGGATCTAACCACTGAACTCGGGATTGGGAAACAAACACTCTACTACTGAGCACTTGTGTGCATTACACTGAGCTGCCTTGCGTATGAACTCTACTACAGTATAGAAATAAAGTTACCTTGACTTTCTTGCCTTGTTAATCTTATGGAATCGTTTTTCCGAAAAGCTAAGTATAGAGTCTTCAGAAAAAAAAAAAACCCTCACAGGTAAGTTTGCGAATAACCAATCACAAATAGGCAGGGCTTCACTGTAATGTCTTTCAGAGTCCAACTCTCACCATGCCAAATCTTTATTTACGCTCCAGGCATTGTTTGAAAGAACATTTTATCATTCCTTACTAGTGTCAAAAATGAAAATGAACAATTTTTCAAATCAAGACCTGAAAACCCCAAACAAGTTTTTTTTTTTTTAAACATTCTCAATTGTCCGACAAGTGTGAACAATATGTCATACATGGCAATTTTCCGCGGATCCGCGGAAATCCGCCGTTTTATTTCTTAAATTGATCATTTTTGTGAATCGTCTAAATCCGTTGAGAAAATTTTAGGGGCGGTCAGGTACCTTATCGTTGAGTTTTCACGAGCTCTCCCGAACAGTCTCTCCGTTTTCCGTTTGTAAACAGCCCTGCGATTGGACGTGTATGAAAGCTTCAACTAATCAGATCACTGAAGGCATTATTTGTTGCGGAAGTCTTAGCTCGATTATAAACGGCCCAGCGATTGGTTAACTACAAGCGATTGGACCAATCAAATTGCATGTAACATATTGTTTTACCTGATTCATGGCGGCCTGTTCGTCTCGCAAATTCATTGTTCTGGGATCGTTTTGAGCGGAATTATGAAATTTTTGACGAAAGATCAGGAGTCTTTAATCCTAGAAATTGACTCAAATGTCAAGAATAAATT